GGATAATGATGAAGATGAAATAAATGAAAATTATATAGATAGCCGATACTAAAAATTCCAATTATTATATTAATTTATTTTCTTTTAATAATAATAATGATAATAATAATTTAATAATTTAATTTTAATAATAATTTAATAGTAATTAATAATTTAATAACAACAATAAGGATCAATTTAATAACTAAGTAATTAATCGTTCGTTACTACGCCACTATGTTTTCTTTCGTGTGGTATCGAACAAAAATTTTCATATATATATTTGTACTTTTTCTCTCATTGTATTTGAAGGTTGGTGAAATAGGTATACATATATTGATATATTTAATTATAAAAAAAAAAATTTATCTAAAAAAATTGCATCAAAACAAGCGTATATAAATGCGTGTGCGTGTCTTCAAATTATTTATATTGTACACATTAAAAAAGTTAATGGATTAAAGCGTTGTCCAAGCCATTGCTCATCTAATATACGATAAATCAAATTATTTGTGTGTATTGGCTTGGGAAATAATGGCAAAGATGGTAGGTAATTGATTAATTAATAAATGTATTTTCGGTGTTATTTTTTTTTCAAAATAACTAAAAAAAAAAAGATTTAGTTACACCAAGGCACCTTTCACATTCTAGGAACATTTAATATTAAAATCTTGTGATAGTTGTTATATTTGGTAAGTAGTTATTTGTTGTCAATTAAAAATTAAAAAATAGGCTTTACTATTTATCCTTGAAAAGAGGTAATAATTATATAAATAATTATATTATATTTTTGTATTAAAAAAATACAAAGTTTCCGATTGTTTGTATTCCATCTGCTTGGAATGTAAATCAATCAAATAATATAACTAATTAATGATATTGTTATCAGTTTCACCCCATCAAAATTAACCAACAGCAGCATTAAAACTTGCTGGGCTTTAATTTTATGTACATTGTTTTAATTAAAATTAAATAACAATTGTTATGTTATTATTACAATTTTTGAAATGGATAAAAAATATCACTCAAGTCATGCAAAATATCCTGGGTCAAGCCAATTTGTAGAATAAGTGATATTCTTGTTATTAAAGATTCTAAATTGCAACAAATAATATTTCTTGGAACTTTGGATGAAATGTGTGTATATATTTACTAATAGATTTAAAACTTTACAACACCCGTTTATTATTTGTTATACATAAAATTTGAATGGAATCTATTAACATAATCAATATTTTTATTCCCATTCCTTCTAATCTTTCTTTCCCTCACTTCTTCCCCATCAAAAATTTTAATTAACAATATTTATCACACATGGATTTTAAATTCACAACTGACTTCTTTAATTTAGCTTTTTCCTGATCGCTCAACTTAACTTCAATAATTCTCTCGATTCCATTACTACCTAAAACAGCCGGCATGCTCAAAACACACTCGTACTCTTCTGAATAAACACTTAACGGTCTGATTTGACGTTGATTCAATGTAATAGATTGTACAAGCATTGAAACACAACCAGCTATACCAAAATATGTTGCGCCTTTTAAATTAATGATTTCATATGCTTTATTAGCAATCTCCTTTTCAATTTGTTCTCTCTCTTCATCTTTTAGATCCTTAATCTCCTGATAATCTAGTAATGGTTTACCGCCAACGTGTGCTGATGTCCATGCGATGATTTGTGAATCACCATGTTCACCCAACACATAACAATGAATTGCTGTTTCTGATACCTTTTATTAAAAATTTTAAAAAGATATTAATTATTTAATTATTATTTAAATAAACAACGACAATTATTAATTAATATTATGGTTATAATAATGGATTGTTTGTTTACCTTGAGTAAAGATGATAATTTTAATCTTAATCTTGCAGAATCTAAAAATGTACCAGATCCAAAAACTTGATGTTTTGGTAATCCAGAAATTTTTTGAGCGATAGAAGTTAAAACATCAACCTATGATTATTACATCCACATCATGATCAAAAGAATTGGACATTATTATCCAATATATGATAATTATAATTAAATAAATGCATATAATAATATCATCACTTACCGGGTTGGCGACTAACAATAAAAGAGATTTTGGATTGATTGGTTTCATCGAATTAATTACATTATCCATAATTTTATAATTTCTCTCGATTAACTGCATGTAGATTATGATACATATACATTTATTAGTTAGTAATGTTTTTATGTTCTCATCGAATTCCAACAAAATAAAATAAAATAATACCTGAATTCTTGTTTCATTAGGTTTTTGTTTAGCACCAGCGGTAATAATTATAATATCACATTGACCGGCTTCTTGATAAGTTCCACCACGTACTTGAGTTGAGGAAATAAAATTTGCATCAGATAAATCAAGCACTTGTCCTTTGACTGTGTCTTCTACAACATCAACCAATAAAATCTCTGAACTTATTTTTTGTATTAATAAAGCAAAAGCAATTGTTGCTCCAACTGAACCAGCACCTATGATTGCTACTCTTGAGTTATTAACCATTTTATGTTGATTTTAATTTTTTTATGAAAAATTGAGGGAAATTTATATTGAAAAAAAAAATATTTATACCATTACTAGTAAACCGATAGTTTCATATGAAAGTGTTTAATGGGTAAAGATGACTTAATGTTATTTTTAGTATTAGTATTAGTATTAGTAATTAGATTAGGCTAATACATTTAAAAAATCGTACGATTAATTTTTTTTTTCTCACACATTTAATATATTAATATTAATATTAATATTAATTAGTATGGCGTGAGCATATTGTCTCACAGGGGATTAATTACAAGGGTCAAATAATTAGATCACCATTCATTGCATGTTTGTATAGCCATAACTCTTGTTAATGTTTTTTTACATTTATAAAACAAATCCAAAATTAATAGAATGATGAGTCATGAATTTATTTATAATCATCACTGCTGCTGTTATACAACAATCTTTTATTTTTAAAAGTCTATTTATTGCGTTGTAAGCTTCTTTCGACAAATCACCCAATCTTATTATTTATATTCGTTGATCTTTATAATTATGAGTAAGAAAGATAATATGAAGAAATAACTTTGATAACTGAAAAATCATTAAAACAGGGAATGTTCTCAGAATTATGAAAATATCATAAAACCTACCAAATTACGAGCCTCCAACTACCAACCAGACAGTTCTTTTCGATAAACTGGAAGAACGTCAAGAAACCGGTAGGAGGTGATACAGTAGCTGTAAAACTCCTATCAGCAGATAGCCACATTAATGTTGGGTGAATGATAAAACCACCATAACTTGCTTCAGAAGCATTTCCACTTGACATTACTGAATTCGGAGGAAATACAAACAAACCCATGTTAAAAGCAATTTCAGGGATGGACTAACGTGGAAAAGAAAAAAAGAGGTGATTGTGATAATTTGGATAGTAGCGATGCGTGGGGGTAGATGTTGATATTATAAAAAAATAGATATAGATTTCCACCAGGAGTGCGCATGCGTCTACGAACCATCTAAATAGAAGTAGCAAGCAGTAGATGCAAAGATAAAAAAAATGAAAAGAAGAAGTTAGCAAATGCTAACATTAAGAAGTTTAGGAACCGATACATATTCGTGCCATTTTGTTCTATATTTAATCATCCCATCAGGCATTTAATCCTTCAGTCCTTACAATCCCAGCTCGTGAATATTTAGCTAAACACACTCTAAGCCGTATTCACTTCGAAGGGTGTTTAAAACCCAAAAGGACTGCCCAAAGGAAAATATAAATATAAATAGAATAGAAAATCAGCATCCAACAAGAAAAATTAACCAGAAGCTTGCCTTTTAAAAGTAGCGATTAAATCAATCACAAAGACAGTGGTGGATCAGCGATTTTGATGAAAGCATTTTTCATAATAATATCACGTGATAATTTACCATATATAGACGTGATTTTCCGTGTATTTGAAAGACCTTTTGCCTAATTATGTTACTCTTAAAAATTGTTCGGTCGTCCCAACTGCAGAAAATAGATCTCAAAAAATTTTGCAACTCAAAAAATAGATCCAATGAATTAATTAGCTAGTAAAGAGCTTCTAACATGTCTATTTTTGGTTTAAACTTGGACGGCTTTTGAAGTGGCACGTGTCCTAAAATAGCAAGGTTATCGAGCCTTAGTATTAGAGAAAGCTTTATCACCAGTTTTTTGATGCTCCGAATTATTTAATATATAAAAAAAAAATAGGTTCGTCAAAAGTTATCCTTATTGCTGCTACTTCTTCTACGAAACTAAAAATTGTCTGACAATTTGCTCTCTCGTTTAGATTGGCTTAATGAAGATGCTGCAACCAAAGAATCTTTTTTTAGATAAATATCACTATTAGCGGTACCTTCGATTTTGCTTATTTTGGTTTTGCTACTAATTCCGAAAAAAAAAATGTAAGCATGGAAATGTAATTGCAAAGTAGTATTATTGGGTGATATTGCAATAGTGATGTTAAACAATTTTAGTCCCTAAAATTTCTTTGTGACATAATATAATTGTAAAAAATCCACCTCGAGTTTTTTTTTTATCCAATCATTTCAATACTCTCCCAAATGTTAGATTCAAAAACTCTTCGCTTGACTTTTTTACTAGAAATGCTCTTTTTTACGAAGCGGCGGTGTCTTTTAAAAGATTTTATCGGAGTGCTCTACGCTATAAATCTCACACGAGCAAAATGCTTTTAATGTGATTACTATTGTCATTATTGTTTTTCCTTTCCCCACTATTGTTGTCAACGTAATTGATTCTTGAATAACAATTATTTAGCGCATTTTGTATTTTTTATTTTTCATGTCCTAAAAAAGGGTTTTCAAGGTAAAAATCGCGTTTGTTAATAAAAATAAAAGCAAAGATTTTTCACATTTCATTCGGTGAAAGATCTTTTGAGAAGGAATCGTCTTCTTGCAAACTTTTGGGTTGTTTACGGCAGGCATTTTTAATATTAATATCATTTTGAAGTGATGATTGTCGATCATAAATCATCAAATTTCATCATGTCTATTAAAAAACCTTCTTTTGAAATAATTCGTCAATTAATACCACCACTTTCCCATGAATTCCACAAAGGTCAAGCTGGTATGGTAAATTTATTATTTTTATTATTATTAATTATTATTACTATTATTATTTACATTTATTTTTTCTTTTAAAATAAAGGAAGAATTTGTATTGTGGGTGGTTCAGAAGAGTAAATGTTTGTTTTGTTTTAATATTATAAAAATTCACTCTTTAAATAATTTATTAATTGAAATCATTACCATTTACATTATTGCTATTATTATTATTATTATTATTACTACTACTATTATTATTATAGTTATACTGGCGCACCTTATTTTAGTGCTTATTCTGCTTTAAAACTTGTAAGTATGATACATATATATATAGGGACAAACCATTCTTAAGTAAATGAATTATTTAAAAGCAGTAAATTATTTTATTCATTCACATTTTTATGCATGCCATCAATTACCACTCCACTTTTTAATTTCTATTTGTTATAGGGCGCTGATTTGAGTCATGTATTATGTCATCCATCAGCTTCGACAGCAATAAAGGTAAAGAAAGATGACGAGGGTGGGTTTCTTGAAGAAAAATTATTTTATAATGTATTATTATTATTATGAATATAATCTCTGATCAATATAATTGATTAATTAATTAATTACATTTAGAGCTATTCTCCAGGTAAATTATACAATCTTCAAATATAAGAAAAAAAAAATATATATATAAATTTATATGTATATTTATTTACTATTTATTATTTAGATTTGATGGTTTTTCCTTATATGCGATCATCTGATGATATTAGTGATGATGACAATTCAAAACTTAAAGAAAATGTCATGGAAAAAATAAATTCACTTTCATTATCAAGATTTCATGTTATAGTTGTTGGACCTGGATTATCAAGAGATAAAATAATGTTTGAATGTGCCAAAAGTGTTATTTTGAAAGCCAAGAAAGATAATTTACCAATAGTTATTGATGCGGTTTGTAATTATATATATATATATTAATAATGTTATCTAACAACATTTACAAAAGGGAGAATAGCTTTTTTGAAATTTTTATTCTTTTATATATTTACACAATTCTAAATTATATTTATTTATAGGATGCATTAACGTTGGTTCAGAGTCAACCAGAACTTATTAAAAATTATTCTCGGGCAGTTTTGACACCGAATGTTAATGAATTTAAAAGATTCTGTGAAAAAATGGTGAAGTCACGTTCATATTTGATTTTGTTATAATATTATATATATATATATTTATTTATTTATTAATCAATTAAACTTAATTTAGGATATCGGTATAAGCGATGACGATAAAGAATATGCAATTAAGAAATTAAGTTTGGCTTTGGGAGGTGTTACTATCATACAAAAAGGGCATAATGATTTGATTTCTAATGGCGATAAAGGTAATTGGCCAATTAATTAATCTATTAATCAATTAATCAATTGATACATTCACTCGCACATATTATAACGGCTTGATATATAGTTTTCGTGGTTGATAATGATGGTGGACTTAAAAGATGCGGAGGTCAAGGTGACATCTTATCTGGTTTAGTTGGCACATTTTTATCATGGGGTGCATCATACAAAAACAAATTATGGGAGTAAGTATAAAAAATATTGAAATTATTGATTTTATTTATGATATTTTTATATTATTTTTTAATTAACATTAATCTCTATTTTTTTTTAATAAAAAAGACATGACGATTCAATATTATTATCTGACATACCATTGTTAGCAAGCTATGCAAGCTGTTCAATTGTAAGAGAATGTTCAAAGATAGCTTTTGAAAAATTTGGAAGGTCAACTCAAACTTCTGATTTTCTTGAAGAAATTGGTCCTGTTTTCAAGAAATTTTTCGTCAAGTAAAATAACAAATAACAATACAACAACAATAATATTCTATAATCCCATATGTTTGCTAAAAATCAATACATGAAATTTTTTATATTTTACATATATTCACAAAAATTCAATATTTCTATTTCTTATAAATAACAAATAATCTAATTAATATAAATAAATTTTTTTCTTCATTTTTCTTTACGCTTATCATATTCTTTAACTTTTTTCCAAAGTTTTATTCTATCAACCATTTCTTCTTCAATTTCAAATCTCAAAAATTGTTGTACACTCCATCTCTCGACAACTTTTTTAACTGATCCAACCAAATCACCGACATCTTCATCACTTTCTTCAAGTTTCAACGCTCCTCCTAGAATTATAGCACGCTTATAAACCATTTCTTGTTCATAAATATCTACTATACAATTTATATAATAATGTGATAAAGATAATGATATGTCTGCTACATCATTAACATCACTATCATTATTATTACTCGTTGGATTTAAATTGTTTGATTTTGGTTTTGATTTTTTGGTGGAAATTGGTTTCTTGTTTTGATTTGATTTTTGTGATTTCTTTTGTTTCTTAGCTGATGACGATGATGATGGCGGTGTAACATTCTTACCTAATAACTTATTGTTATCATCATCATCATCATCTTTATCCTTACCACCACTAATTGATACAAATAATTTTGCTCCCTCACTACTACTACCATAAAATAAACTTGAAAAAATCTTTTCTATTTGTAATTGTATTGTTTGCATAGATTTTAATATTTCTTCGAATTCATTATTAAGAATATGATGAAGTTTACAAAGTAAATTTTCTATTTCACAAGATTGTTTATAAATAATTGAAGTCAAGATTTCATGCTGAAATATCATTGAATCCGTGACATTACTACTGTTGTTGTTACTGCTACTGTTGTTGTCGTTATTAAGAATTTTGATGTTTTTTTTTGGTGGTGGTAAAGAATAATTATTGGATTTTTTTAGTTGATCAAGTGTTTCTTGACGTTGAGCTAGAATATTTACTAACGATGAAAATAGCATACATGATCTTTTATGGCTCGATGACCAATCTTTACATAGTTCGTCAATTCTTATCAATAAATTTATATGTTGTGGGGTCGCCATTTCTCTTGGAAAAAGGAATAAATGAAAAATAATAAAATTATCTATCATCAATTGCGTTTCACAAGAAATTTCCAAAGATTATTTAATATTATAATAAATTAATAACAAATCATTGCTAAAGTATTTATCATCATCTTTATCATCACGTAAAAAAAAAAGCGAATGAATGTCCTTCTTTGCGTACTGAAACAATCAAATCAAATCTTCTTCTTTTTGACCATACATTAAACTTTTATGTTGAAGAATATTACCACGACGAGGATCACGCTGAATAATTCTTCAATAACAATATCGACAATGATAAAGAAAAATCATTCAGCATGATCTTCATAGTGGTAATATTCTTCAAAATAAAAATTTAATGTATTATTATTATAATCTACATGTAATGTTTTTAATGATTTTTGTCAAAGTAGTTATTATGTATAAGTGTGTGTAAGTAAATTTTGATCGTTGATTGTTTGTTCATGTCGTATTAACATATTAAAACTATGGATTGATCGACAAAACACTTCTGACGACGAGGTGTATAATTGTTAGTTTAGCTACAAATGCGCCCGCCAGAAAAAAATCATTTTCTATATAAAATACATATATGTTGGACATTCACGATACCTTTTCTTTCCTTTTTTTTTATTTGGATTATATATTTTAATAATAAAGTAATTGCGAATAAAATTTTTAAGGAAAGATTTCATGGTCGATATTTATATTAATTTCTTTTCTCTTTGATCATCTAAATCCATTTGTTGAATAATTATTTAATTTATTTTGATGTTAATAATTGTTGTAGTATTGTTTTTTCATGACGCGTTTCTCTTGAACAGGATTAGAATAACACTTTTCCCCTGTTAATTATTATTAATATAGAATTTTAAAACTAATTTCAAAAATAAATAACAATAAAGGAAGATGAACAATACAAAAAAATTCGTGTTATTCTTTCTCAAAAAAAATTTTTTTTTTCTAATATTTTAAAGTTAAAAATGTCCTTTCAAAAATTAATAATACCGACCAGAAAAGAATGATTTACAACGAAATGTATAATAAGAAATAAGGTTTTATCAATTATATCTGGTCGAGAAAATCAAATGCATTTTTTTTTACAATTAAATCAATAACAATAAGGAAACTTTTAGAAAATGAAAAAAAGAATATTCCAGAGAAAAATTTATTTGTGATTGTGAATTAGAGAATGCAATTTATAAAATTATGTAAGCCAAGAGAATGCAAAGAATCGCAAATCAACAATATGCTCACCCTAATAGATTGTTAGTCTACTACACTTGCAGATTTTTTTCAATGCTTGGACATTTAGAAGTGACACGGTTGATAATTTTATTTAACAATGTCAAATGCTTTCATCCTTAGCAACTCAAATTATAGAATGTATACATACCTTTTGAGCAATTTGATGATGTAGAAAAGCTAATAAAAGTAGTAGAGATTCAGTATAATTAAACTTCCACATATGGAGAAAAGGAAGAATACGTGACTATAATGAAGAGAAAAAAGAATTTCTTGATTATGAAGCTCAAAATGTAATCTTGAAAACCTTTAAATAATTCAATAGTTTTTTTATATGGTTTGTAGCTTTTATTTAAACGAAAATAAATTATATAGTATCGTATTATTAATTGATTTTATTTCTCAGGCAATGAATTATGCAGTGTTCCTTAATTATCTTTCAGAAGGTAATTTAAGATACTACAATATTTAAAGGTTACGTGAATCATGATTTGGGATTATGTGGACCCAGATGATGAAAAATCATCAGATAAAAATCTACGGAATTATATATATTAATATGTTGCACCGAGCCGCTTGAAGGCAAAATTAATAAACGAACTAATATTTATAGTGTTGGGATGTTAATGTGAGAAATATCCGTCATTTGATAATAAAACTCATAATCATTGTTTATTGGATGATTTAAAACTTCTTGACACCTAGTACTAGCAAGAATTTCAACTTTTTGGAGAATTTTTGGAAAACTTTCAAGTATAATTCTACTTTATTGCAAAAGTAGAATTTTTTAGAATTGCATGCAAGAGCAAGCCTATGTGCAATACAATGAGTCACAACCAGATGCTTGTTTCTTGAGATAATCTGGTAGCTACATCTGATTTATTTCTCATCATAACCGAGGCTCCATCTGATGCTAATGAAAATATCTTATCAACAAGACCTAATTTTAGCAGCCGATGAAATCGATAGTCATCTTCATTTATGGTTGGTCCTTTTGGTATTTCCTAAAAAACAAAAAATATGATGTCGCATGTGATAACACATCAGAGTTAAACAGATCTGGTACACAACTCATTTCACCAACTAAAACTGACTACCCGGCTAATAAATGACTTAACAGATTAGCCAGCTAATCAGCTAAAATCACCAGGTACGCCATTTCTTAATATTAACGGATAATAATGATGACATGATATAATCATGGCAGGAATATTATAATAAACAGATAGAATGTATTAGAAAACGTCTTGTCAGAGAAATGTCCCGCAATCCATTAAAACTGGCATTAAATTCAAATTTATTTTGAAATTATTAAGAGCATCTCATTGCGAAGAGCATTTTTAGCTTAGAAAAACATACTTGACAAATTGGTTTGATTTTGTTTTATTAAATATAATAATAAATGTATGTTCAACCCATTTACTTGATAAACTATACAAAATTGTATGGCCGTAATTCATTTTATTTTTTGTGTTGCTTGAAAAAATCAAGCAGCAATAAAATGTTATGTAATAAATTATTGTCAATTGACAGAGAACAATTTGTAAATGAAATCTATAATGTAATAGTTAATAATGCCATATCAATTGCAAATGATACTTATAACAATGGTTTATCAAATACTTCAAAAGAAGAAACTGAAAAGGCTACATTTTTATCATTAGTAAGTGAAAACAAAGAACTTTTAGAAAATGAAAAAGAATATTGCAAGGAAAGATATATTTATGATGAAGAATTAGAGTATGCATTGCACAAAATTGGTGAGCCAAGAGAATGTAAAAATTGCAATGCAACAAGATATTCTACTAGATTTTGTGAAAACTGCATTAGCTTACACCTACAAACCCTTTTTAATACTTGGACTTCAGGAAATAAAATTGTTGATGATTTTATTCAAAAATGCCAAAAACTCTCAGCCCTTCCAAAAAGTATAATGGAATGGATCCCATTTGATCAATTCAAATATATTGAATATTTAACTAAAGGAGGATTTGGTAGTATTCATGTGGCAAGATGGACAAGAGGATGTATAAATGATTATGACGAAGATAAAAAGGGAATTTAGTTATTTTGGACCTCATGGAGTAGTTTTAAAATGTTTAAATAATTCAAATAACATTGGAAATAAATTTTTTGATGAGGTCAGTAGTAATTTCATTTAAAACACAAATAAATAATTTGTATATTATAACATAATATTAGATTAATTGAGTTTATCTATATTCCAGGTATTGAATTATTGTAAAATTAAATCAGCAATGATTGTTTGTTGCCATGGTATAACTAAATTCCCAGATAATGGAAATTATGCAATGGTCCTGGGTTATGGGCCAGAAGGAAATTTAAGAGATTATTTACAAAAAAATCATTTAAAAGACAGAATTACATTTTTAAATATTTATGTAGTTCATTATATCATATACATGATAAAGATTTAATTCATTGTGGTTTACACAGTGGTAATATACTAGTACAAGGTGGTGGTTGTTGTATCACAGATTTAGGATTATGTGGGCCATTTGATGATAAATCATCAAATAAAATTTATGGAATCATGCCATATATTGCACCTGAAATTTTTCAAGGAGGGAAAAATACAAAAGAATCAGATATTTACAGCATTGGAATGTTAATGTGGGAAATATTTTCTGGACATCCACCATTTGATAATAGACCTCATGATATAGATTTAGTTTTTAATATTTATGATGGATTAAGACCAAAAAATTTGTTGAATATGCCAGAAGATTATAAACAAATGATGCAAAAGTGTTGGGATGCTGATCCATCTAAAAGACCAACTATTTGGGAGCTTTGGGTATTTGCTGAAGATTATTTAGCTAAAGTTCATAAAGGTGAAGTTTTAAATAATAGTGGTGGCAATGGTGGTAATGATAATGGTGATGGTTCACAATTGAAAAAATATGAATCACATCCACAAGCATATAATACAAGTAGAATATTCAATGTTATTAATCCTAAATCAAATGGTATTAGTTCTAGTTATGTAACTTCAGTATATGAACCTAGAATTCCATCTACTAGAATTGATATTATTACTAATGGTAAATATCCTGACTAATTGATTAACTATTACTTATTATATTTATTATTTAAATATATTTTTTTTTTCTAATTAGTGGAAAATACAATTTATGAAGATGTCATTGTAAGTGATGAAACTGAAAAGATTGGCAAAGCTGATGAAAATATTTGAAGAGAAGGAATAAGTTAATAATACTTTACAAATTTTGCTTTTAAAGGTTTAGGACTATTACAATTATTTATTAGAATGTTAGAAATTGTAATTTCACCTATAAACTTTATAGTATTGATTTATTCTTTGAATATTCATCTCCATTCATTATATTATATATTTTTTAATGCTCTTAATAAATCATTTTTTTTATTTATTATATCTTCTAATTTATTATTTCTTAAATATAATTACAGGGTGAGTTGATCCACTGTCTTCTATCATCATCATGTTAATCACCCAAATCATTGTTAATTTCATTTAAAAATTTGTTATATGATTAATAAATGTTCTTTTTATTTGTTATATATCTTCATTTAAGTTTTGAAGTTGGATTTAAACAGTTTAAAATAAATAAATAATCATGTCAAAGATAATATGCTTTACCTACATATGAAGAAGATGATGATTGAAGAGAACTTTAAAATTTAAATAATAAATATCTGATTATGTTTAATTTTAATCAATTATATTTAATATACATACTTACTCGGACTTGAATTTGGTTCCTTTTATCAGTAATGATTATATTTATCTATAGTATTTTTTTGTGCGCGGTTGGATGATTTTTAGACAATGTAGTATCGGTATTGAGTATTAGTATTATTTAAAAATCTCGATTAAGATAATCATTAAAATAATAACGACTATTTTAACATTGGATGACATCATCTACTTTCTGATGAACACAACGTATAAAACGAAAAGAGCGAAATTGGTGATATTTTGGTGAAGCCCCCCCACAAAAGATATTTTTTACGCAAATATTGATATCAATTCTTGAGCAATATAAAAAAGAATGGGGGAGTACAAAAATATATTTAGATGAGGAAATTTATGAATCCGAGATTTTTTTAATCACCAAAGAATCATTTGACGAACCTCAGAATTTCATCTTGTTTCAATTTCTTTATTAAAAATATGATAGAAATGATTTCTGCTATTTCCGCTAAAAATGCAAACACTGCTGCAGCTGTTATGTCATTTATCTCATTCCTGTGTCTTTTATTAGCGAACTTGGGGACACCAATTATCATGTCAATCTATATTGCGAGTTATGAGGGTGTTGATGGTCTAAAGGACATTTAATATGATATTTGGAGTATACAGCGAATGTGCGCAAAATAAAAATTCAATTTATTCTTTATTCATATGTATGCGCGAATAGTAATCTTAAAAGTCCGGGACGTCCCTAGCGGTAGAAAATTTTTGTTGATTATAAATGCCATTGATAACGTGTTTACTTATTAATCATATCATTAAAGTGTGAAAATATATTATATATACATAATAATTGATTGAATATATTTTAGGCGTAATAACATCATTCATATTGTTTGCATTGGCATTTATGCACGTAGTCAAATTATGAAGAAAAGAGTGACATGGTCTTTGCATTATTCAGTTTCTTTATTATTTTGTTAGCATTGGGAGGACAAATTGACGTGGTTTTTACCTCCAAAATTGGTTTAGTGAACCCCATTTAGTCTAGGCAAAGCAAAATTAAAGATTGGGGGTAGTGCAATTAGTCTTGTGATTATACCCCTCGTACTCTCACTCTTGTCAGTTTTTTGCATTTTTACATTGGAGATTGAGCTGTAAGTTAAGGAGGTGGTGACATCAATGGTTCCAAAAATATGAGCACAACAATGACCAGCCAGCAGCAACCTGTTCCTCAACAATCTCCACAATTTCCACAATCATATCCAAATCCTCAATATTATCAATATAATAATGATGCAAATCAATACTCAAATCCATATTCAAAATCCACAATCTTATCCAAACCCTCAATCTTATTTGAGCACCAACCATCAACCTGTTATTTATTTTTATTTTTTTTAACCCAATGTATCATCAATTTAATTTTTGTGTTAACATTAATTAGTAATTTTGATAATTATTAAGATTAATAACACTGTATAAACATCAATTTACATTAATAATAATTATGACTCTGCATCACCTTCACAAACTTGATCATTATTGTGATCCGTGAATGAATCGGAGCATCCCACGTAGTTGCTGTATAAAAGCTAAATCCGATAAATATGGGTTCTATTATTGATTCAATTTATAATTTTGATATGAATTTGAATTTGGTGCGCAACATATAAAGAAAGTGTGTAAACACACATTCCGTCAACTTTGTCATGCTCAAAAGGTATCCACTCGAATCTGAGTTGGGATATAATAAATTATCAACTATATATAATATTTTCAAATGTCCAAGTATTGAAAAAATTCTGCAAGTGTAATATGTCAGAGTATCTTGTTGATTTATACTTTTGATTTACCCAAGACTGGATGGAGCCGTAAATAATCATTCAACATTCCCAAGATGCTTTTTTTCAGCCTTACATTTTTATAAAAAGTAAATTAGTCAATATCATAAACAATATACCAAACACTCTCCCAATTGGATTAATAGGTAAACGAAATGAACCGAGATTTTTGTATACTTATTATGCACTAATTTATGCCCTATCTGTTTCTTTACAATAAGGTATTCCCATGCCTTCACTTGTTCCTTCCAATCGCCCACCATTCTTAATCTCCGACTTCTTTCTTCTTCAAGTTCCTCTCTTTTACCCTTGTAATTTTTAGTCTTTAATTTCCTCTTCAATTGGCCCAAATTCTCCAACTTCTCAGCACCCTCAAACTTTTCTGATTTCTCAACAAATCAATATATAATTCAAACCTAAACTTCCTTTGTGATATTAATCAAAGCAAAACGTGTATGGTTTCTAAAGAAAAATGCTTTCGTAATGAGATGATACATATGGAAATGTTCTTAATAACTTTTATTTTATCCCTATTTAAAGCCAATTTAGTGACAGTTTATTTATTATTAAGGGGTTTCACTTTGAAACTGTCACTTATATATCATTACGAGGATTTTAAATTAATTGGTGTAATTTGAAATTTAAAAAAATTTTTTTTTGGATAAGAAATTAATTAAATCGACAATTGCTCACTAATGCTTGTTTGTATTATTTAATCAAATTTTTGGCATTTTTATGTGAAAAATAAATTTATAACTTGAAGAATATGAATAAATGAAAACGTATATAGATAGAGAAAAGGTATATGGAAGTGATTTAATATTGATAAGTTTAAACATTAGCAGATATTTTAAATACCAACTATTACCGTTAAATTTTATTATATTTCTTGATGATACAGTAATATACAAATAGAAAT